GTTTGTAGGCAACAGAAGAGCCTGTAGATAAGAAAAGATTTGAAATTAAGGAGAAAGAAGGGGCCAGGCATGGTGGTGCATTCCCTTCCTATGTGGAAGGCTGAGCTTAAGCTTGGGAGTTCTGAGCTACAGTGGGCCACACAGATCAAGTGTCCACATTAAATCTGGCATCAGTACGGTGAGCTCCAAGGAGTGGGAGGCCACGGTTTGCCTAAGAAGAAGTGAGAATCAGTCCGGCACGCAAAGCTCTCATGCCAATCAATAATGGGATCAGGCCTATGAGTAGTCACTGCACTTCCAACCTGAGCAGGATAGGAAGACCCAGGCTTTAAGAGGCCAAAAAAAAAAAAAAAAAGGAATGACTGAAAGAAAAGCTTCTGGAGGAAATGGTTCTAGAGGACCAGCCTATGGAATGCAAAGATCTTTATAAAATATACTTCTCCAGCAGTAAGCCATTTTACATCTTGTAGGAAAACCATTCAATGAATGTAGAATTCATTAAGTCCTTACTATTAGGGATGAAATAGATATCTCTAGTTTGGAGACCAATGCCTTAAATCAATTAAGTCATAATAACATTTAGATAACAGTTTCCACAGTGGGCGATACCACCCTTTGGGGGTGCTGGAACGATGGGGGCGGGGAAGGGCGGGTAGTAGTAGCCTTGAGTGCAATTGGGAGGGTTGAATAAAAATAAGGGGGCAGTGGAAGCATAAGGAAAGAAGACAAAAAAATTTTTTTAAACCATTCATACATGTTTCATCTGTTGTATAACAGAATTAAAGCACTAAGCACTGGGCTAAGAGCTGGTGATCGGCATCGGCTTCCCTGATCTTGCTTCCTGGTCACCTAAAAGCATAAAAAGTTCTAACCATGGGGTGTTCAGGCCTCTCAGATTTGGTGGATATAAGACCAGAAGAGATACTATACCCTGTCCTGATGACATGATGAGATGCCACCACATAAATCAAAGCTGAAGATAACTGCCACTGCAACGTTGTTGCATGTCACTGCTGCATTGGGGCAAAGTAAACCTCCTTTTTGTTAACTGTTGAATGACTTAAGAACAGTGGTATCAAACTCAAATAGAAAGGGATCCCTGCCAGCTGCATATTTACTTAGACTATCACAAATTAACACTATTTTTATTGCATTTTTATTTATTTTGTTAAACAATTCCCAATTACATTTTGATCTGGGTCTACCTATTCTTGGGAGCAGCTTGCTGCCTGCAGGCTGTGAGTTTGATACCTCTACTTATGAGTACATAATTTTGTCCCAAAATCAAACCAGAAATAAAAGTGCTGGTGTCAAGCTTGACTCTAACAGCATGATAATGGCTTTTACACAATTACTTTAGTGTTGTCATTGTTGTTCAGTTGTTTCAGTCATGTTGGACTCTTCATGACCCCATCTGGGGGTTTCTTGGCAAAGATACTGAAGTGGTTTGCCATTTCCTTTTCCAGTTCATTGCACAGATGAGGAAACTGTGGCAAACAGGGTTAAGTGACTTGACCAGGATCACACAACTAGTAAGTGTCTGAGGTTGAGTTTGAACTCATGAAGATGAATCTTCCTGATTCCAAGCCCAGTGCTCTATCCACTGTGCCACCTAGCTGCCCTTAATTACTTTAGTATTTAGTTGCAATACAGAAACACAAATATATTATCTTGATTTGTATCATCTACACTCAATTCTGTTACAGTTATCTCTTAAATCAGTGATCTTCAAACTTTTTTAATGACACATCTGCATTGGCAAAAAAAACTTTTGAGCATATATTCCTAATATATGTATATTTATAAGATACGTATCACATAGTTCTATGTTCAGTTTATTTCAATATTTGATTTAATGGCTATCATATCTGAAATAGATATCTCTAGTTTGGAGACCAATGCCTTAAATCAATTAAGTCATAATAACATTTAAATAAGGGCACAGTTTCCAAAGTGGGTGATACCACCCTTTGGGGGGTGCTGGAATGATGGGGGGGGCGGTACAATTGGGAGTGTTGAATAAAAATAAGGGATCAGCAGAAGCATTAAGAAAGAACACAAAAAAAATTTTTCAAACCGTTCATACATGTTTCATCTGTTGTTTAACAGAATTAAAGTCATAGGGATTATATCATTTTCCAAACAAACACACAAAACGCAAGTTATAACCCATCAGTGGTCAAGTCAAGTCTGCTGACAGGTCTTAATAAGCAAGTGTTGGCAGGTGAGCTTGTCATGCACTGTCAGGAAGTCCAGCACATATTGGCAGGAATATGTGCATATAATGATTTGTTTACAATATGATTCTATACAGCTACATAATGTAATATTGTGTCATCAAAATTTCAATACAGGAACCACAAATTTACAATAAAATTTACAATAAATTTTAAAATTTAAGGTACATCATTTTTTTACAAACATATTTTAGGTTTTTTGAAATGACAGAAATTAAAAAAAAAACATTAAAGAGTTAAAGAAAGTAGATTTCAAGGAGGGCATTGAGTAATTTTTTTTTAAAGGGGGCGGGAAGCCAAATAAGTTTGGTAACCTCTGGATAAGGGGCTTGGTTATAGTGAAATTTAGACTTCCTGTCCATTAATTAGGCAATCACTAAGAAGACAGAGGATAAGGATATCGTTGCATGGTGGGAGGAGGTGGTCAGAAGAGACAAGCTCAGGCACCTAGTGGTTATGTGATCAGAGGCAAGTCACTTAACCTCTTGGGGCCTTAACTTCTTCACTGGCAAAATGGTATCATTAATACTTGTATCAGCGATCTCACAGGGCCAGTGTCAGAGAAATATTTTGTAAACCTTAGGGTATCATTTAAATGTGAACTATTATTCATATACCAAGAATTAAGGTACTAATTTGTCAATGCTTTTTTTTCTTTTCCTCCTATTCAGTTCACTTTATACAACCCAGATTACTAGATTATGAGAAATCAAACACTTGTCTCAAGCTTGTCTTCAGAATTTTCCTCCAAGAATTCTAAGAAATTTTTAACCAAGATGGAAAAAGGGAATTTTTTTCTTTCATTTTTTTAATGCTAACAGCACTTTTCATTAAAATTTTTTCATGGATAATTGACAAATATTAACTAAGTAACTACTACAGGAAGAGCATAATGCCAAATACCACAGGGGATACAAAATATCTAATGGTAGCCTGAACCTTTAAGAAATTAAATCTGGAAACAATTGTGATATAAAAAGAAAAAAGCTTCATAAAACTTTTTTTTTTTAAAGATAAGGTTGGAATGGTAAGTTGAGGCCAGACAGTAGAAGGCCTTAAATATGAAGCTAAGATGTTTACTTTATCCTGTATACAACTGGAGATTCATTAAGGGTTTTTACCAGCAATATTACAAGGTCAAAGTGATGTTTTGGGAAGATTAATCTTGCAGTAAAGTGTTAGGTTGGAGGGAAGGAAAGCTGAACAAAGGGAGACATTATGAAGCTTTTCCTATTATATTGTCCAAATGAGTCCAGCCCAAGTTACAAGTGGGAGCAATAAAAATGGAAAGGAAAAGACAGATTAAAGAAACATCATAAAAGAAGAATCAAAAGGACTAGATTGGTGGGCATGGGAAGAAAATAGAGAGGGAAGAGTCAAATACTGAGCTTAGGTATCTGGAAAAATTATATTACCACTGACAGTAACAGGGATATGAGGAAGGGGAACTATTTGCAGGTAGTTTAATTTCACACGCATTGAGTCTTAGGAGGCACTGCCACATCCAAATGAAAAACGTCTAAGGACAATTGTAAATGAAGGATTGAACCTCAGGATATACTGATTTGAGAGTTATCCACAGAGTTATCCACAGCTGAGTCTATGGAAATAAATGAGAGCCTAGAGAGTCAAGGATTGAACCTTGGGAGTGTCCATATTTATGGAGCAGAAGGAAGAGGAACCAAAAAAAGTCAGAGGGAGGAGAAACAAGGCAATATAGTATCACAGAAGTCAATGAAGGAGATAAATGTTAAATGTTAAGAGACCAATGAGTTTAAAGACTAGGAAAAGGCCAATGGATATGGCACGTAGTTTATTATTAGTATCCTTCTATGGTTCAGATTCTGTTGAAGGCAAATGGAAACCAGATTACAGGTTGGTTTTAGTTTTATTTTATTTTTCTTTTTTCTTTACAGTGAAAAGATGGAGAAAAAAATAAACAATCAGGATTTTTGTGTTTGTATTTAAGATAGAAAAGACCCACACATCTTTTAAAACAAAATAATTACATAGGAAATTTGGTCATTATATGTACACCAAAATAAAAAAGGCATTTCAGAATTTAAAAATTCAAGTTAAACACCATTAACAGGGCTAGGTGCTATCAGGAAGGAAGAGAAAGGGATAAACATTTATATAGTGCCTACTACACGCCAGGCACTGTGCATTTTATAAATATTATCTCATTTGACCCTCACAATAATACTGAGAGGTAAATGCTGTTATCATCTCCATTTTACACTTGAGGAAACTGAGGCCAACAGAAGTTAAGTGACTTATGTAAAATCACACAGCTAATAAGTGTCTGAAGCTAGATTCAAACCCTGGTTTTGCAGACTCCAGGTCCAGCATTCTACCCACTGTGTCACCCAACTGCCCCATAAAATATATAGCTCAATTTCCCTACAGCATATCATTTTATTTTTTACACACTATCAATTAGAACAGTGATTCAATGACTATTTCTTATGCGTGCATTTTTCTCTTTAATATATGGTGTAACTTCAAAGCAACTACGGACATCCTCTTAAAACAGAATGAGTTTCAAAAACTTCATCTACACATAATTACAATCTGTATCCATCAAGGTACTCATGTTGATGAAATCAAAGTATTAAGGAAATAGGGCCAAATCTTTTCCAGTGGAAAGCCATCTCTATATTATAACCAAACTTAATAAGAAAAATGTGGTCAAAACATATGTAATGCATAAGCAAAGTTAAAGTGTAACACTAAATAAAGTAAGTGAATCCTGTGTTGTACCTCTTTATGTTTTTGATCCAATAAATCCCTAAGAGATTTAAGTTCCTGTTGTCGGATATCCAAGCAGGTTTCTAGAGCCTGGGTCTGCCCTTCCCACTCGGACTTCTTATGAGCCACCATTATGTCAATTTGTTTCATTAGCTCCTGTAGTTCTGCCTCACAAGATGTTAAAAAACCCCTGCAAATAAGAAGAAATCACTCAAATTATACAGCAGATGCTCACATTACTTCTTTTTCTTCACCTGTAAAAGAATATGGAAGTATGTGTTCATCCCTAAAAGTAACTGAATGAATTGAGCCATCATTATCACAATTTCACAAGAATGGTTCTTTCAAAGAGAATCACCAGAAGCAATCATATTCTCATACATACATACACACACACACACACATACACACTAAATGTGTGTATATAACATATAAGATGGATATACTCTCTCTCTTTATATATATATATGGGATAGATATACACACCTTTGTGTGTATGATCTGCATAGAGATAACACTTAAGCCCATGGGAGCTAATAAAATTACCAAGAGTATAGAAGAAGAAAGAATAAAGGACACAGCACAAAACCTTGGTAACACCAATAGTTAGAGATTCAGATGTGGATGAGCCAGCAATGGAAGATACAGTATTGCGAATTAGGAACAGAGAGAAAGCTAATCTGTCTAATTGCTTAAGCAGGAGGAGGAGTAATAGCTAATGAGGCAAAGGATTCTGTAAAGAAGTGATCAGATGGTTAGAGGGCAAGATACAGGAAAGCAGTGTTACCAAAAAAAAAATTTTTTTTAATTTAAAAAATTAAAAAAAAAAACAAAACAGTCGAGTTTCTGACCCCTCTTGCTTTTCAGACTCAGTCAACTTAGATGATGACACAGAACTATGTCTTTCATGAACTTGCATTTTTATATTTCTTCAATAGCTGACACAAAGACAAATCCATGGAAATACAAGCATGGCCTCACTATGGCATCACTCAGATCTGAGGAGTCGAATAAGGCCTCAAAGAAATAGATAACTTAAATATTGACAGACATCTGGTTAATATCATTTTGGAAAACTTGTAGGATGAGTCCAGTTTAGCTTAAATATCATATTCCTTATTAAATAAAAGTCAAGAAACTTATGGGAGTCAAGTGTCTAGCTAACACAGAAGTGAGAAAAAAAAATTTTTAAGTACTATACTCATCCTTGAGCCTCATTTAAGCCAACTATGATTCTTTCAGAAGATACTGAAATTTCACGTTATTCGATGTTCACTTGAAATATGATTTACTTCCAAGTTCAAGAAGTATTAGACATTATTGCTCCTATAGAGGAGATATACATATAATATAAAAATATATTTATAGCTATCTCTCTATATATAGTCACACACACACACACACACACACACACACACACACACACACACACACCACAAACACATCCTATAGAGGATTTTCAGAAACATGGTGCAGGGCAGAAAAATGGACCAGAAAGTTTCCACCCTGTCCTTGACTACTTAGGCAACCTTGGGCACAGCACTCTACCTTTGCAAGCCAGAATTTCTTTTTCCATAAAATGAGGTAATTAGACTAGAGATAAAGAGGACTTTTAAGGCCCCTTTCAGTGCTAACACTTTATGGCTCAATAAGCACCAGTATCAGCTATGAAAACAAAGAGAGGCAGGGTTACCATTTACCACTAAAAGCTCCAAAAAATTTGGGAGCAGATACTTAGTGCATTCAGATCAAATGGGAAAAGGTGGCAGCACAGAGCTGCTTGGCAATCTTTCTAAGAGACTGAAACTATCAAACTCCCCCATTAGGGTTTGAGGAGAAATCCCATCAATGGTTGGGTAAGAGCCGTATCCTCATCTGGGCCAATCATTTATCCGAATCCCCCACCATCCAGCCTATTACAGCTCCACACTGGCTGCCAATCTCCCCCTGCCTGCTCCCTTGTTCCCACTGCCCTCTCAACAACCCCCCCCTTCACGCCACATCCCACTTAATGTCTACCCACTACATCCTCTAAGCTCTCTGGAATGCCTACTCCTCAAGTAACAAACTTTCTTTCATCCTTAACCTTTTCCTTTCCCACTCCTTTTGTCTTCTTGCAGCCATTGAGACCTAGCTTCCTGGGACGACACAGATTTCCTAGTTTTCTTTCCAGCATTGTTGCATTTCCAGTCATTCTTTCCTCCCCCCCACCACCAGACTCAGTGGTCATCCTGGGGGGAGTCAGACTACTTCCTGATCTTCTATTGCCAATTCCAGATTCTCCCTCTACTCAGTAATCACTCAATAATTTCTCTTCCTTTGAGGTTCATTCAATCCATATTTAATCAGCTGATCAAGATTATGATAGCTGTTATCTACCAACTTCCAGGATATTTTCCTTCCTTACTCAATAAACTCAGTGCCTGCCTCACAGCCTCTCTCTCCTCCCCAACTCCTGTCCCGACTTTCACATACATTATTAATACTCCCTTAGATACCCCAATTTCCCAGTTCCCCATCTTACTCATTTTCCCATGACTTACTCATCCACACCACCTTAGCTGTACAGGGATGGATACACCCTTGACCTGTGTTCCACCTACATGTTTGTAAGCTCTGAAATTCCTTTATTTAATCATAATCTTTTATCATTCCACCCTTCCCTTTGACTTTTAACTCCAACCTTGTTTTTGATCTTCTATCATAACCTCTAATCCCTCCACTCCTTAAATCTTCCCAGTCCATCACTTCTAGAGTCCTATACTCTCCCTTCTCCATCCTGACTCCCAATGAACCAATTCAACTCTATATTATCTTCTTCTCTCAAGTCCATGGTTCCTTGATTGTATAACCAATCTTGCTTTGCCAAGCCTCAGCCTTGCATTACGCCTACCATTCACTGTTTTTGTGACTATTCACAAGCTGCTGAATGAAGATGGAGAAAAATCATAAAACCTCCTGACTGGGGCCACTACAAATATATATCATTTGTCACACAATCTCAACTGGCAAGGCAAACCTCTCACATTCCTCTAATCGATTCACTATTCCCACTCACCATAGAAGCTTTTCCAAACCTTTTCATTCCTCCTCAGACTTCTCAGGACTCCGCCATTCCCCATCTTCTCAGGTAAAAACCTTGCCTCCTATTTCATTGAAATAGTTCAGGCCATTCATGGAGAGTTCCATCTTCTCCCCTCCTCCTCATCTCATCTCATTTGTATGATTTCTACCACTATATTCTCCTTCACTATTATCTCACATGAAGAGGTAGCCCTTTTCTTTGCCAAGGAATACCCCTTTCCATGCACAATTGATTCCATTGCATCTTATCTTCCCCAGTAGATTACCTCCTCTATCATTCCCATTCTCACTAACCACCACATCTACTAGCTGCTTCTCTGTCCCATACAAACACATCTATATCTCCCCCATCCTCAAAAAACTCTTATCCATTCTTACTATTGTCCTATACCTCTCTTCCTTTTCATGGCTAAATTCCTTTAGAAAGCCATCTATAGTATGTGCTTCTACTTCCTTTCCTCTAACTCTCTGATTATCCAACCTAAACTGCCCTTGAGTCACCAATAATCTCTTCTTAATTGCCAAATCTAATTGGCCTTTTCTCATTCCTCATCCTTCCTAACTTCTCTGCAGCCTCTGATATTGTTGATCCCCCTCTTCATCTTGATCCTTTCTCCTCTCCAGGTTTTGGTGACACTGTTTTTTCCTCTTTACTGTATCATCATTCCTCTGTCTCCTCTGCTGGATCTTCATTCAGGTCACACCCATTAACCACAGGTATTCCCTCAAGATTCTGTCCTGGGCTCTTTGCCTTTCTCCCTTTATATTACTTCATCTAGTTCATCAGCTCTCCTGGATTCCTTCAAGTTTCAGCTAAAATCCTATCTTCTGCAAAACCCTATCCAGATCCCTGCTAATGCTAATCCCCTCTAAGATTACCTCAAATTTATCCTGTAAATATCTTGTTTGTTATATAGCTGTCTGCATGTTACCTCTCCTACTAAGATTGTGAACTACTTGATGGGGAAGGAATATTTTTGCCTCCTACCTTTTTTTTTTTAATCTGGCACAAAGAAGACACTTAATAAATGCTTAATGTCTTGATTTTAGAGGGGTTCCTAGGTAGAGTATGTTAACTGAGACAATAACAATTGTATTCACAGTTTTTGTTATATAATTTCTTCCATATTACTGGAACCCTGAAGGTTACATTGCTTACTTACTAATTGCCTAAATCCTGAATTTAGTTCCATTGACTCTATATTCTTGGTAGAGCAGTCATTTTGGCAAGGCAAGACCCATAACACAAATATACAACATATTAAACCTACTCTAGACATGTTTTTTACTCGGCACTTCTGCAATGCTCTGCCCCTTTTCTGGAATCTTATATTACTAAAAATTTCCATATTACTATTATTGAGAGTAGAGAGGCCCTATTCCCTGGCTACTGCAAAGGAAGCTTCCTTACTGTGACATGTGAGGTGGGAAACCAATCAAGTATGTCTGAGTGAGAATCCACCTCTCATACAACACATGGTTCTCAGTTGTTAGGCTGCCAGGTGTGAAGGATGGAACCTAGGTGTCCACATACAGATCTGAAGGTGATAAAAGCTTAGCATAATCTAGATATCCCAAGTCCTGAGGGCAACTACTTGAAGTATCATCACTATACCATTATTTCCTCACCACTCAACTCTGCATTCTGCCTTCTGATCTCATCATGCAACTGAAACTACCCTCCCCAAAGTTACAAATGACCTCTTAATTGCCAAATCTGAAAGTCTTTTCTCAGCCCTGATTTTTCTGAACCTGACTCAGTTGACAACTATTGACTACTTTTTCCTCCCATATGGATCATCCATAATGCTATTCTATGCACATTATGCATATAGTAAACATAAAGATAATAGGAAAAAGACCTGGTTTTTCTAAATTCCAGAAATTCAAACTTTTCAATTATATAAAATATTTCAGAAATTACATTTTAGACCTTTTTAAGGAAACATCAATTTTACTTCTTTATTTTAAAAAATAGTAAAGAGTAGACAAGTAGGTATCCTGGATAACCATTATCAATAATGTTGTAACTGAGAAAATTATTTTATAATTATATTTGAAATTAATAGAAATGTAGCCTCATGAATTAAAAAAAATATACAGTTAAAATATCACTAAGACACAGAAGATGGAAATACAAATGACTTATCTTCTTAATATGGGTAGAGTTAAGGACCACTCCCTAGTTCCTTACTAAGGAAGTTAGGAGCGAATGGGAAGGTTTCGGCTCAGGTCTGAACTGTACTGCATTACCTTGAGGTCTCTTCTTACTGAAAATCTATGAAATAAAAAAATTACTGACTAAAATGGCCAAAAGAAGACAAAGCAAAGAAGAAAAAAAAGGTAAGGCCTGAATAATTGCTAAAAGAATAAGAGAATTTTGAATTATTGAAGGTTGAGCATAAAAAACTTAACTATAAATAAGCCAAGAAATTTGAATTGTTGAGACTTTTGAAGCCCAGACAATAAGACTGCTTTGGTAAACTCACAAAGAAATCAATGGAGGCATTTATAATGGTAAGAAACTTAAGCAAGCTTTCCATTTCTTCAAAAAAAAAATTTTTTTTTCTTTTGCTAGAAAATCTCTCTAATTTTTCAATTGACTAGCACAGAAGCACAAATTTTCATAAAGGAAAGTGTTTACCTTCTAGTTAAGAAGAAAAACTCTTAAAATATAACATTGTCTACAAACATCACATTCTGCATTGTCAGAATTACATTAATTACCTTAACACAGAGTGCTATCATTTTTCACAATCACAACATAAATCGTTTAAAGTTCAGGATGAGCAAAGGAGCACTCAAGTACCAGTGCTAAGACAACATGGGCATTGGAAAGCAAAAACAAAAACAAAAACCTTACCCTCCTTGTCCCCGACTCTGTATTCCTTCCAACAAAGCCTCCATGACCAAATCACCTCTGTTTTGGTAGCTGGGAAGAGAAATAAACATAGGTCATAAAATGGCATTCTTTTCACATTCAAAATTGTCAATGGTCAGTTTAAGAATGTGAGCAGAAATGTGGCATTTTTCGGGAAGAATTTAGAGACAGGTAACAGCTTTGATTCTGGGCACTCTTTTGACCTACGATGCACTAAGTGCTGGAGATATGAAGACAAAAAAAAGAATAGTCTCTAATTTCAACTTCTGATTGGGCCCATATAAATTCATATCAGGTGCTTAATATATGATTGTTAAATGAATGAAAGAAAGGTTGCCAGAGAAGCTAAGCTGTCTGCACAGAGACAGACAGCCTGCTCCCTCATACCTACTCCAGCAAAAACCTAAAAATCAGGAGACCAAATAATGATCAAGAAATCCAATGAGAAATCATAGTAACTGATTTTACCAATCCCAGAACTACACAAAATATTGTCCAAGAACCCCTGGGCAATAGGAAAGGGGGTTGCTAGCTAAGCCAGCACCAGAATGTGCAATCAAGGGAGGAATTTTCCTATGTGACCAGAGATATTTATAACCTGAAAGACAGTGAGAGCTGAGGTTTCCTCACAAAGCCACCAGGAATAGCAATGAACAGTCTAAGCATGGTAGCACTCACATCACCTCACCCAAGGAAAGAGCACTCTAATCCAGGAGACCTAAGCCCTAAGGTAGACAGAGGTCAGTAAAGGAACTCATGTAAGCCACATTGAGACCAAGCAAGGCCAATCACCCAGGAGCAGGGCAGAGGCAGAACCTGACAGAAAGTACTAATTCAGCACTGAAGAACTGGAGAGATGAATACTGGAATACTGGAAAGAAGAGCAAGCAGAAAATATAGATAATTTTAAAGGATTAAATAAATCCAGAAATGTCAAAGAGCGAAGCCTAGGAGAAAGTAACACCATGATAACTGCAAGCGGAGACTCAAACCAAAAAAATCATGACTTTCCACAAGGACTACATGAATAACCAGAAAACGTGAACCAAGAGTTGTTGGTTTTCGTTTTCTTTTTCTTTTTATGAAATAAAAACTTCGGAGGAAAGAGTGACTCCAGTTATAAAAATTATTAAAATTGCTTCTGTCACAAATTCATCTTAACCTTAAAACCACTAAAATTATTCTGGAAGGAATCACTAATGATCTTTGTATTTCACGCTATTATTATCTTGACCTTAAAAAAAAAAAAACAACCAATGTGTCTTTTGGGGATTGAGTGATATAGTAAATAGTACAGTAAAGGGAAAGGGGAAAGGAACAAGCATTTATCAAATGCCTAGTATGTGCCAGTCACTCTGCTAAGCACTTTACAAATATTATTTCATTTTGACCCTCACAACAATCCTGTGAAGTATGTGATGTTATATTCTCCCATTTTACAGTTGAGGAAACCAAGGCAAACAGAGGTTAAGCAACTTGTCCAGAGTCACACAGCTAGTATCAGATGATAAATTCAAACTCAGGTCTTCCTGAATCCAGAACCAGAGCTTTATCCACTCACTATTCGAGCTAACTGCCCCTCCATCTGTAGTCAGAGAATTGAAGTTCAAATTCTGGCTTTAATATAACCATTTTGTGTTCCTAGCAAGTTACTTTTCTTTGTGCCTTGGTTTGCACATCTGCAAAATGAGGGGATTTGTTATCTTTAAGGTCCCTCCCAACTAAAAAAAAATATGATCCTACAATGAACAAAGTCAGTCAATAAATTAGAACAAAGTCTGTCCTTGGTAAATCATTTAACCTTTATAAGCCTCAGTTTCCTCAGCTGAAAATGAGGGGTATGGACTAGAAGACTTCCAAGATCCTTTCCCTGAAAATGCAGAGAACAGGCAAGTAACACAGCCACTAGATGGCAGTGGTGCATTCCCTTAAGAGAAATTAAATTTTTGGAAAAGTTCTATTTCTTGAGTTAAATACAAGTGGCCTCTGCTTCAAAATAATGATTTGTGTTCAGCCTCAAACAGCCTGTTAAACATAGGAGCTGAAAACATAATAACTAATTTCCCCCCTCAACCACCACTGGTATACATATATTTCATATAGACAGCAGCTTAAACAGATACATACATACATATATAGACATTTCTCTAGAAAAGATGTTTCTTGTCCACTTCAAATTTGCCTCAATAATTCTGATACATGTTATAAAGTGAAAAACATTCTAAAACTAATGAAGATAGGAAAGTTATAGCCCAAAACAGGAGCTAAAACACATAATACTAACAAAGCAGAGAAAGGACCTTCAAAACAGCTTCAGCAAATACCCCTCAGGCAACACTAGGTGATAAAACAAAGGGGAAGGGGATTAGCCAACCTGTGCCAACTAGGTTTCTTGGTCTTACTATCTACATCCCTTATTTCTCCAGCAATCTCAACGAACCACCCTGTGCACACACAACCCTCTTCCTAACAAATTCACAAGGCACAGGAGATACAAAAACAAAAAAAAAGAAACAGTCCCAGTCCTCAAGGACTTTACATTCTACTGGGGGAATACAATATACATAGCTAAGGAAACAAAAAGTATCTACAAAGTAAACAAGTAACAGAGAGAGAAAAAGAATAGAGCCAAGATGGCAAAAGCTGAGCAGGAAGGGCAGCTGTTCCCTCTCAAAACTCTAGAGAACACACCAGACTGAATTATGATAGGAAAATTCAAAAAAAGAAAAGAAAAGAAAAGAAAAGAAAGAAACCTCACAAAGATGTTAGTGAGTCATTTTGCCAGCCAGATAGGCAGACAGTGAAAATGGACACTGGGGCTAGGGTCTGACCAGGATTGGCCAGGTGGAACACTGGGGGGGGGGGGGGTGTTGGGTGTAGGAAAGCCTGTTCACTGTTACAAGAGGAGGCCCCACCATCAAGTCTGAAGTCAGGTAGCAGACTGGAAGAATAAGTAATTTTTTTCTTAAGTCACACCATAAAAATTATTTGGGAAACAAGAATGCTCAAGACACAACCCTAGAAGAAGAGAATGACTACCAAACATGCTACAAGCAAAGTCACCAAGAAAAACTTAGCTTAGACACAAACTCAACAAAAACTCCTGGAAGAGATGAAATGACAGCCCTCAAGGGGAAAAATTAAAAATAAATGCGAACTATGGAAAAAAGACTTGGAAACGGAATTAACAGCTTGACACTAGACAACCTTGCCCTAGCAACAAAACTCCCGGAAAATTAGAATGGACCAAATAGATGCCAATGACTCCATGAGACAATAAGAAATACTGAAACAAAGTCAAAAGATTAAAAAAAAAAAGGAATATATAAAATATGTCATAACATGAATGACTGACCTAGAAAACTGATGAAAGAGAAAAAATTTAAGAATCAATAGACTACCTGAAAGCCATGACCACCAAAAGAGCTAAGAAACCATATTTCAAGAAATCTTAAAAGAAAGCCTGCTCAGATCTCTTAGAACCAGTGGACAAAGTAGAAATAAAAAGAATACACCTGTTACTTCCTGAAACTCCCAGGAAAATCATAGTCAAAATCTACAGCTTCCAGGTCAGAGAAAAATATTGAAAGCAGTCAGAGAGAAAGAACTCAAGCACTGAGGGGCCACAGTCAGGATCACACACAATTTAGCAGCCACCATTATAACGGACAGGAAAGCTTGGAATATGGTTATTCCAGAAAGCAAAGGTTTATTGCCAAGAATAACTTTCCCAGCAAAACTGAGTAGTGGTGGGGGAGGGGGAGGAATGAACCTTTAATTAAATAAAGGACTTCCAAGCATTTCTGATGAAAAGACCAGAGCTGAGTAAAAACCATAAAGTTCTAACACAAGAATTAAGAGAAACATTAAGAGGTAAACTCAAATGATCATAAGGGACTAGATAAGGATAAACTGCTTACATTCAAATGAGGTGATACGTGTCTGCTATAAACCCTATCATCATCAGGTAATGGAGTCTAATTAGACAAGGCCTGGGAGTTCTGTTATGTCTTAATGATCTTAACAATGGAAAGCCAGACAGCATCTTGCCTTGTGATGCTTGAAGGTCTTAACCCTTTCTGTTTGGAGTCCTGGGAGACTTCAGTTAAAGTGCAGCTTTCCTTTTCAAAGAGGGTTAATCGGCCTCACTCTCTCTTCCAGAATGACTGAATTCCAGGGGCAAGACAAAAGTCAGTGTGATTGAGGACGGCCCAGTATGCAGTGGATGATCTTGGCTTCTTTGATGTCTGACAAACCTCTAAGCACTCCAGAGCACCTATGTGGCTCTTGGAACAAAATGCTCTGAACTGCTTGAGGAAGCCTGCACATAGATACCCCTCCCTAAAACTTACTAAAGGGCTTGAGGCCAGTGGGTTACCTTAACCCTGGTTTAGTGGGTTGTGACCACTGCGAATGCTACAGCTTCTTGGAGCCAAAGGTGAGAGTTGGGTGACAGGTGGACACCACAGGTGGATGAGCAGCCCTGAAAAGGGCTCAGCAAGCCCTCACACCAGAAGTGTTAGTCCTCCCTAAACACCACATACAACCGTGTTAATTAGAGGGGACACCTTCCCTAAATCATACTGGAAAGGCCCTTAGAAGTCTCAGAGTCATAAGATCATTTCATGGAACTAGAAAGAACTTCTGAGGCTAGCTGGTCTAATCCATTCCCATCTCCCACCCCCTCATTTTACAGATGAGGAAACTGAAGCCCAATGAAGTTAGACAACTTGCTCAATTCAACATTTATTAAACAACTGCTACGTGGGAAGGTACTGAGCTATGGGGATACAAAAAGAGGCTAAAGGTAGTGCCTGCCCTCAAAGATCTTACAATCTAACAGGGGAGACAAAATGCAAACATATACAAACTATCCATGTATCATCAGAGATGAATGCCTAAGAGACAGTGGCTTGCCCACAGTGACGGGTCTAAGTAGGAGCAAACTGAAGACCCTGTGGAATGGAGGGCTCCGGAAATCTTGAGATTCGTCCAGCTTTCTTTCTATCTCCAGCACCTTGGACAGTGCCCTCACTTAGTAGGTGCTTTCATGTCTGAACTGAATTGAACCTTGGACCAAGGTCTCCTGAGCGTTTGCTCCATTACACCAGTGCGACCCTCTCGGGAGTCTGGGGGTGAGTGCCCGGGGGGGGGGGGGGGGGGGCGGGGGGGGGGGGGGGGGGGGAAGGCGTAGGGTGGGGAGAGGGAGGAGGATACTCTCTCCACCTAATCATTCTAGCCCCGAGGCGCACACTCCGACTCCCTTTGAATCTCCCGCCGCCCAGCCGGGGGCACGTGGTTTCCACGGCCCGGGTCCCCGATCTCCACCGCCTCCTCCCCGACTCAGCCCCGGGAGTGAGGTCAAGGAACCCACTTCAGGCAGGGCCCAAGGCGAGCGAATGAATGAGCCCCGGCCGCCAGCCCTCGCCCTCGGTCCCGAGGATGGGAGGCGGGCACCTGCCGACGGGGCTGGCCGACGCGCCCGGCGGAGCCATCGTCCAGCCAGCGCCCACATCGGCCGGGGGCGGGGAGGGCGGGACGCGAAGCGAGACGAAGAGGACGCCGGGAGGAAAGTCGCTGATGCGATCACGCGCCTGCGGACTAAGGAGCAGCGGGTCGGGGCTGTTCAGCAGCCCCAGTCCCGCGACCACGCACGCCGTGCAGCCCGGCCTAGCGCGGCGTCCGCAGCCGCCACCGCCACCGCCAAGGGGCGCTACCGCTGCAGCGTCCGCCCCCGCCCCTTTCTCGTTCTCCCGCCGTTACCTCTCCCGGCCGCGCGCGTCGCCGACGTTTCTGCGCCGCCTCCTCGCTCTAACTCATTTCCCTCCGCCCTTTCCCCACTTTTAAAAAAACATTGTCCCCCTCCATCAATTGAACCAACCTCATCCTCCCCCTTTTCCTAATGAGGTCGAGTGGACTCCGCCAAGTACTCTCATTCGCTGGGCCTAAACGGAGGGAGGAAAGGAAGGGTTTTACGGATCACGTGACCCCAGCGAATTGGCTAGTGGAAGAGCAAAAGGCGCAGCAGTTGAAGCCGGAAGAGCGCCTGGGCTAAGCTCGCGCAGCACGCCTGCGCGTTGATCGCGGGAGGACCGAGAGCGAGACTAGAAACACGCGCATGCGCATCCCCTCCTCCCCTTTCCTTCCAAGTGTCCTGTTTGGGTACATTGCTGCTGCTGCTGCTGCTGCTGTGTGGTCGTGCCTTCTCTCTCCCCTGTGGTCACCTTCGGCTCTTTTCTTCCACCCTCCTGTCCCCTAAGGGGAAAGAGACTCTTGGAGAGTGTCGTTCCCTCCCTCTCCTTTCTCTTCTGGCCCCGCTGGTCCCAAGCTCTGAAGCGAGAACCCCCTGCCGCACAGGTAGGGTCGGGTCCGGCCACCAGCGTGGGTGCACGGGGTCAGCGCCTGCGGGATGGTCTGATTAACGGCATCTGCGGACCTGTTGTGATGCCTGAGGCCGCGGTTATTTCACCCTTTCCGTTCATAGTCCGGGGAGACCTCAGTTTTAACTGTAGACTTCTTGCAGAAGGGACTGTACATCAAACTACTCGACTTCTCTAAACACTTTACTGTGAGATTTTTGATCGGACCCTTTTCCAAGGAGACTAGGGGATACCTAAGGCACAGCACATTTGGTCAAGGTGAAGGGTAGAGAGAGGTCTGGACTGAGAGGGGGCAGGCCTCAAAATTGGTTCAAGTAAGGGTCTTGGGCAGTGAGATGAATGTGTGTGTGTGTTCTGTTATTTCATTTCTTATAGTATTTACAACTATCCATAAAGCCACACGGATTTATTAAGCATTATGTGCCATGCCCTCTGCTAATCCAGCAGGGTTTGTAAATTTCTGAAAGTGTGTAAATATCTGCCAAAATCTGGAAATGATCAGCCACCTATTGTGTGCTGCTTCTTCACCGATGACAAAACTATTTAAGTCACGGCCTCTGCTCTAAATGAGCTTCTGGTCTAATTGAGCCTTCAGGATATGAGTTCAATAGCCACATAAGATTGCAAATTCAAGCATTTTTTCACTGCTTTCTGCTGGAGGTACTGTGCCAGATAGGGATACAGAGGTGAAAATCAATGAAGTCCCCACCCTCAAGGAGCTTACAATCTATGTGGCAATTAAAAAGAACAGTTTAATTGGAGGTGACTTATAACTTAAATATTCTGATAAGAGGAATGGATAGATGACAAAGAAGGCAGCAAGCACCTTGAAGAAAATGAAAATAAAAAGAATGTTGGATACAAGAATTTAGATGAATACTAAAAAAAGAGTTTAGTTTAATGGATCCATGGTTTCATTGGTCTGGGTATAAACATTGAAAAAGAATCCTTTTTCTTTATTCTAGTAAAACCTTTTAAATAAGAATCAAAAACTTATTAGCCTGCTGTCATCCATTTGGGTTTGTTTTGAGCTCAGGCCGTGTTCACAGACATAAAGCAATTAAAAGTATGTTTGGACTAATTCAGAAAATTAACTGGTTGTGTGTGTTTTTAATTCACTAGCCACCAAATTTCTGGAGTATAACCAGTGGGCCAGAGGTCTAAGAAAATCAAAATCACGAAGGAATGGACAGTGAGGTACAAAGGGATGGAAGAATTTTAGATTTGATTGATGATGCTTGGAGAGAAGATAAGTTGCCCTATGAAGATGTTGCAATACCACTGGTAGGTAACATGTGCTATGAATGAGGGAATGGGTATGCCATTGTGAGCAACATATTGGCTGTTAGGGAAACCAGAGAAGAATTAAGGGGCAGATAAAGTATAAAGACAAAGAAATGGTAACAAATTGTGCAAAAGCGGAGAGGAGAAAGGGCACATGACACACAGTGGGAGCACTTTGCCAGACTTATCAAACATACTTCCCTAGTGGGCCTTAATCAGATTAAAATGTAATTGGGAAATGTTTTTGAAATAAATAAAAATATAATAGAACAAAAATAATGTTAATGTGTGGTTTTCTAATCAATGTATAGTCACAGGGATTCTTAGAGTTTAGTGGCTCTGTTTCTGTTTGAGTTTGACACTGATGATCCAGGTTCATAGTAATGAGGGCGTCTACCAGAGGAAGTGAAAATAGAGAGGAGGGGATGGATGTAAGAGATCATTTCTTCCAATCCTTTCAAAGCAAATCAGCGAAGGAATAGAAAGGTTAAGTAAATTGTTTACGATCATAAAACTAGTTAGTCACAGGTCTCCTGACTCTCATTCTAGTGCTTCTTTCAATGTACTGTAGCTGGAGATAAATCAAGAATAATTAAGAGTCAGAACCACTGAAATTAATGGGAAAAATAAAAAAGAACCAAGAACATACCTTAGAACAACTAAATAATATTCTCTTCTTCCTCTTACTTTCATTTGTCCTTGTTACTCTCTTTGTAAACCTCTATACTTTGATGCTAGACCTTTCCAAGATTTTCTGAGAGATCTCTCTTCTGCTCTTCACACCCACCAAGTTTCTGGAAAAAGCTTCTTAACAAACTTACATGCTTGTAGACTTCCGTAGACTTTTATGCTTAGTCCTATGTTTGTTTTTTTCCTGAGTTAAAACTGATTTAACAAATGATCATAAAACACTTTCCAGGATGAGTCTGGATAACCAGTTGGTAAAGATGTAGGGATAATTCACACTTCAGGGTCAAACTAAATAATTTCTAAGATTACTTCCAGAGACTATAATTCTATTATTTTTCACTTTAATGAAGGCTTATAGATCCTGAGATCTATCATAAGAACCTATCTGAAAGAGGAAAAGAAATTAGAAAAGAGGTGGAAAAATATTTTTCTGTTAAGAGGTGGGAGGATGGTAAAGGGAAATAGTCAAGGGTAATATGCAAGTAAAAAAACAACCTTAACTGTTTTCCAAAGAGCTATTCAGCATTCAGGTTACCTACTTTTAAAAATCAAGAACGGAAAATATAAAATTGTTCACTAACTGCAATAAATAACAAAGAGATATACCTTAATTAAGTTGAGTTCAAGGCCAAAGAGAGAAGAAAAGGTGAAAGGGACTGAGGACCTAAAAGAAAAACAAAAGGTTCAAAAATCACTTCAAAATAACATTTCTGCTTAACCCTTGAAACAAGGCAAAAACATCCATTGTGTAGGAGAAGGACCTGTATCCATCTCATAAACTTTCACATATGTACCCAGAATTTTAGAACACTTTCCTTAGGCCAACAGAAATCAACCAAGAGCAGATTGGGACCAATGAATCAGATATTTTCTCTCCATGATTTATAGATGGATTTGCTTTACACTTCTGTTGTTGGTGTTAATCTTTTATTTAAACTAAGCTTGTCTGCCTTTGTTAGAGCTTAGTAGTACATCCAGAATCCATCATTTCATAGGTGTGAATTCTTCCACCCCCTCCACCAAAGTAAGTCACAACTTCTCCATACTCTGTCTTCATGAGTCATTGGGTCTTAAAAAAATGTACCTCATTTGATGTCCAAACTTTCTTGTAATTAACATATCTGAACTTAAATGTACTAGGCCTTACCTGACAAAATACCCCGTGTGTTAGTTACCATCTCTGTACCCAGAGCCTTCGCTGCTTGGGAGAACCTGTCAAAATGTGTACTCATTAACATAACCTCTTAGAAACCAGGATCAGAAGAGGGTGTTAGTAGGCGATAGTTAGTAACGTTTAAAATTTTTTCAAGTACATTTAACTTTAACACAAAATTAGTATTTTCACTGACATTAACTGGACAAAAAAATCTTTAACACATAATTATCCTTTAAAACTATAAAGATAACACTGACTTAGGAAATTGCTAATTTTTCTTTCCTACTACAGCATTTTACCCTTGACATATATATGGTAAAGAAAAAGAAAAGAACTTCTCTTAAAGCAGCAAAAAAAGTAAAATGATCCAGTAATGACTCTCTTAAGTGTTTCTTTACTCACTTTCTATATGAGGCCTTAACTGACACCCCAACTGCTAGAGCTTTACCCCAGAAATTACTTTGTTTTTACTTTCTGTTGTATACTTTATATGTACTTATAGATGTTGTTTCTTATAGAATTCAAGCTCCTTGAGGGCAGGAATTTTTTCACTTTTTCTTTGTGTCCTCAGTGCTTGCCATATAGTAGACACTTAATAAATGCTTGTTGATTATTGGGTTAATTGCTGGCTTTTATTTAATGAAATGTTTGCTCCTTTGGAACATGTTATTCTGAGTTCTTTTACATTTTCAGAATGAACTTCCTGAACCAGAACAAGACAATGGTGGCACAACGGAATCTGTCAAAGAACAAGAGATGAAGTGGACAGACTTAGCCTTACAGTATCTACATGAGAACATTCCCCCAGCAGGAAACTAATTAAGTTCTTATCTTTCATGGACAGATTATTGTGTATCCAGAATGTTTTCTTATAGGTTTCCATGCGGAATCTTTAAGCTGTGAGCCCCTACTTTGAACAATTGATTCTTGTTGACAAAGTAGAATTTGAAAATATTTATTCATGAAGAGATAACGAATTTAGATTGCTTAATATTAGAGGATTTTAACAAATATTGTGTAAATCTCTTCATTAGCTTGTCTTAAATTTAAATATTCATCTATAACTTTGGTTGTCATAGGTTAGTACAATTTAAGTTACCTTTATATTTTCTTCAGCAGTAGAAAGAGTCAAATAGTAACTGGGAGAATGATGTCAAATTACTGTACTTTGCTTCTCTGTTCAATGTCATATCAAGGGGTAGGAAAAGAATGCAGTTGATCTTAGATATGAAAAGTTGATGAGGAGAAGAGAGCTCAATTTTATATTTTTACCTCAAGTGTGAAATAGGTAGGTAGGATGCTACCTCTACTTTAGTCATATATTTTGAGTTCATGTGTTTAGAATATTGATGCCATTAGTATGGAGATAACTTATTCACAAATGTATGGAATTAGTATTTTTTTTTGTTTTCTATTAAATTTAAGGTTTGTGGATAAAATTATTCTTTTGTGTACTTTTCAAACAAAAGTACATTGTGTAATTTTACAGGCTAAAAATATTAACAGGTTCAAGAAATGTTTAGACAAACTCATGGGTTATTCACAGAATCATAGTTATAGAACCTGAAGGGAGCTCAGAGGTCAATTAGTTTAATGATCTAATTTTACATATGAGGAATCTGCAGCCCAGGGACTTCCCCCGAGGTCATATAGGTAAGGAGTGGCAGAGCTGGGATTCTAACTCAGGTCCCATGATTCTTAGTTAATTGGTACAGTTCAGTGCTCTTATACATGATAATAGTCTTATCCAGCAGAGGTATGCAAGCATGGAGCCCATCACATTGTCTAGTAGTGCAATTTTTTGTGTTCATATTAGTGTACTTTGAAATATAACAGGAAAAAGGGGGGAGCCAAAGTTCTGTCATCATTTCTTCTCTATAAAGCCTTCCCTAGCTATTTCAGCCCTTACTGATTTAACTTCTAACTACCTCGGTCATAGCCTGTAATAGACAATGTAGCATGTAATTATGTATCAATTTATGTTGCTTTCTGTTAGTTATCTGCATGATAGATTCTTTTCCCCAAATTGACTGTTACCTCCTTGAGGATAAGGTAGTTAGTATAAGACCATATATTAGTATTTCTGTATCTACTGTACATGTATTATTAAATAAATACGTGGATTAATTGAGTATTACTCTTCAACCTTGATTAGTTAAAATATTGCCCCACAATTATTTTTTTAACCACATTTGACTTTTAGGAGAAAAAGACCTATCCCAATATAGCAAGCATATTTCTGAAATTTGTTTTAAAAAGTGTCTTCTAGGGTGTGTTCTGGCATCAAAATACAGCTCAATCTTTATACCTTCTATGTCTGTTGACCTATACAGTGATCATTGCTCTTCAAAATTTTGAACCTGAGGGAGTCTACTATCATAAATCATCAAAGATGATGTTCTTACTAAGGCTCAAAAGTGAACAAGTTATGTTTTAGAAAGCTTTTAAAATAGATTTTTAAAAGCATCCTTTTTTGTACCTTGTACATTATAGACAATATTGAATTCCTTTTCAGGTTAAACAAAATTAACTTAATAGTGTTACACCAAACCCTAAATTTTGTGGTTAATTGAGGCTTTCCTTTATTTCATCTTATGCGATGTGTTTACCAATTTCTAAGAACAAAAGCACAAACATCAAATATTATAGAAATGGAAGTCTTAAGATTTTGTTCAGATTTATTAATGTTTTGTGTAATGTTGTGATAGATTGAGTATATTATGATCAGACCACATCTGGAGTAATGTGTTGAGTTTGTAGCACCATCTTTTAGAGAGGATGAGAGGGCAGAACTAGGACCAGAAATTTAAAGTTACAGAGGTAAATTTCAGCTTGATACGAAGAAAACCTTCTCAAGTGGTATGAGCTGCCCTGGAAGCAATGAGTTACCCATCCTTCAGTTTATTAGTACCCATCCATAGAGATTTTCAATTGGAGGCTGGATAATCGCTTGCTAGGGATATTGTAGAAAGGATTTCTGCTTACTTGTGAGCTGGACCAGATGATCTGAGGTCATTTCCATTTCTGGGATTCTGTAATTACAGCTTGGCATGGTAAATGATCATCGGATTTGGACTTGAATTTGAATCCCAGATCTTTTCCTACTTTTAAATCCTTCAGCAAGTCATTTTCCTCCTTCAGGCTTCCATTTCCTCCTCTTTGAAATAAAGAGGATGAAATAAATGACCCTAAGATCCTTTGTATCTCTAAAACCCATCATCTTAATGTTTGATTATGGTCTTGACTCAAGTTGGCTCTAATTCCCATTTGTAGTATATTTTTTGGGACTCTTAATCATTTATCATCATAAATGTCTAATTCTATGTGCTATGGAACACAATAAAGAGGACTTGTTAAACCTTCTAAAACTTGGAATAAGAAACTAGAAGAAAAATGGTATATAGCTGCAAGGAATCTTCGGGATCCCTACTCAAAAACAGCATGAGCAATACTAAAATGAAGCAGAACTGTCAAGGTGATCATGCTTTAGATCGCAAAGAAGTTATAGATAAGGTCAGAAATGCAGAAATTTAAAATACATTTATGGATCACAATGTAATAAAATTAGTAATCAACAATGAAATATGGGTTAGGGTTTTTTTTTTAATGTTGGCTTATATGGAGATTAAAAGAATAACTTTATCATTAATGCCTGGATTCAAAACCAAGTTATAGAAAATACTTAATTTAAAAGTAACTACAGATGCAATATATTGAAATATAAGGGACTTGGCAAAAGCAGAGGCATATTTAAAACAACAAAAACTTATGGGATAAAAGAAAGTTTTAAGTTAAAGAAGTTAGAATGTGAACAAATTAATACACCAAAATCAAGTAGAAAGAAATGAATTTTTAAAATAATTCAATAAGAGAATAAAAGAACAATTGAATTGCTGGACTCAAGAGTCAGGAAGCCTAAAGGAAGACTTAGGCTCTTGGCCTACTTTATTAACTGATTGACCCTGGGCCAGGTACTTAGTCTCTCTGTGCTTCAGTTTCCTCATCTATGAAATAAGGTGGTTGGACTTTATGGCCTCTTAGGGTATTTTAGTTGTAAATCTGTGACCCTAATTATTATAGTTATTTTTGAAAATACTGTTAGAATTGACAACTCTATTCCAAAGAAAGAGAAAAAAAATCAGAAATTGGGAGAAATCACAGTGAATGCAAAAGAAATAAACCTATGAAATTTTATGCAGCTAATATGTCAACAAAACTGTTAACCTAAATGGATAGATACTTGTAAAATATAAAATAGCTAAGTAGCATAGGACAGAGAACGAAAGTGAAGTGAACAGCCATGGGAGTCAGATGTACCTAGCTTCAAATTCTTCCTCTCACAGATTCTAACTGTATAATACTAAACAAGTCACTCAACATCTCCGCCTGAGGCCTAGACGAAATTGAAGACGAAGGTGAAGAATGATTGATATGCATTAGCAGAGGGAAATTCCCCAAACCACTGTAGTCACAGGTCCAGAGCTTAAGGCCTACCCCTATTCCATAAAAAGCCCAACTGACAAAATGAGAAATAGATAATAAAAATAAACCAATTTCATAAGAAGTTTGTAGCAGCCTGTTAAGGAGGTACCAAATAAAAGGCACTAAATGAACACATAAAGAATGAGGGATTCCTATCCTACGTGAACTATTTTCCAAAATGAAAAGACTGTATTAAAGCAGAAAAATACAAGTGTAGATCAGTGTATAAAATATTAATATATGGATATTTTAACTCAAACATGAATAAACATTACCCTTTCCCCAAAAATCTTCCACTTTGAGGGAATGTGGGGGTAGTTTAAAATTAGGAAAATAATGGGCATTTCAAGCTTCACTGCATAACATTCCCCTTGCCCACTGATCCATCTGCCCTCTATCCCTCACACATGATACTCTTACCTCTATACCTTTGCACTGCCCTCTTACCTGGAGTTCACTGTCTCCTTACTTCTGTAACATAGAATCCCTCTTTCTGAAGGTAGCACAGGCACCACCTTCTACGTGAAGCATTTCCTTATCCTCACACCTCACCACCACCAACAGCTAGTGTCCTTCCTCCCAAACTACATTGCATTTAACTACTGTTATTTTTATATTTAGCCTGTGTATACTTATAAATGAATGTTTTCTTCCCATTAGAATGTAACTAAGCTCCTTGAGAGTGGGGATTGTTTCAGTATTTGTATTTGTATCCCACTATATAGCACAGTTCTTAGCCTGTAGTAAGCATTTAATAAATGGTTGATTGAATAAGTATAATCTGCCATAAAGATCATTATATCAATAGATGTATAAAAATGTTTGATAAAAAGTAACATCTATTTAAGTTAAAAATACTAAAAAGTATAGTAATCAAAGTGTTTATTTGAAACTACAAGCTATCTTTATAGGAAGAGTTTAATGGAAAAACATTAGCGATGTTCCCAAGAAGAATACTAAGAATTGTTAACTTTCATCTTTAGAATTTCATATGATTTTAGAAAATCTAGCTATAGCAGTGAATTGAGTGAAATAGGCACTAGAAAAAAATTCATCTATCTTTTTTAAATGCTGTAGAGCACTTATTTAGAAGAGCCAAGAGACCCAATTGAATATTAACTTTGATAATAAATGGCTTTAGTGTGATAGTAGACTATCACTCACAAACATCAGTGTTTCTAAATTTCACCAACAGAAACACAGAGAAATACCACTTAGTATAATGACAAAATATAGCAAATTCCTAGGCATTAAAACAATAAAGACACACCAAAACTATAAAAGTGGTTTTGTGATCTCATCAGTATTGGTACTCCGACATTATAAATTGCAACACATCTATTGTTTTGCATAGAGTTCTTGACTGTGTGCTTCCATAAACCTACCAAACATGGCTCCTTAATGGAGGAGACCTAAGATCTGTGGAAGAAAAGCCTTAGAATTCCACATTTCAGATTTCAAGGCTATCAGAAACATTTTGTGTATGTATTTACAAGCATTGCTGTTTGGAGGGAAATTCAAATGGCAGTAACTTCTGCTAATTTAAATTCTCAGACAAGGGCTTCATATATTTTATAGTATTCAAAAACAAGGACAAAATTCCACAGTCAATATTAAGCAAGGAAAAGAAACACAGTGATTGAAACACTTTGTAAAAAAAAAAAATTCACAGAAGGTCAGAAAGGATTGCAGATAAGCAGAACGGCTTTGAAAATTACATGTTGAATTTTTAAATACATTTTAAAAGAAAAGCAAGCTGGACATTAGTCATAGTTTTGTATAAATTCTGATCTACTGTATATGTGGAAATTACTTGGTGTTAAATTTTGAATTCAAAAAATTCAAAGATTAAACAAGTGTTTAGCATTTAGATAAAAGTATCTGATTTATCATACAGAAAAATAGTAAGTTTAAATGATTACGTACCCTAAAGAATCATTTCCCCAGTTGGGTCAAGGCATTAGAAAAGGAGGACTGCTTTTAACTGGATTATTCAAAGGGGTGTCATGAGCCCTTGTCCCATCACTACCAAGTACTGACAGGGTATATTTCATTCACATGAGTCCAAAGGCTTCAGAGTAGGAAACTGAGGGGAAAAAATGATTTCTTAATATCTCTAATGGAAGAAGCAGAGGGGCCGTTAGGGTGTTTCCATAGTTTAACATTCTTTGGGCGACAGTGCAGTACTTAGACTATATGTTTGTTATCCCTTGCTTTTACTGTATAACTTTAATTTCTGTCATACATTTTCTGGATGTCTGTTTTAATACTACTTACATGTAAATTATCTTTACTAATATTCTATAGTAGAGGTGTCAAACTCTATCCCAAGTATGACCTAAACCAAATTAAAATGTAATTGGGAAAGATTTAACAAAATAAAAGTGCCATACAACATAGATGTTAATTTGTGGGTTTTCCAAGTCAATCTGTGTCCTACAGGGTTCTATTTTTTTTTTTTGATTTTTTTTTCCTGACCCAACCTCATCTAAGCACACTTGTTATTGTTGCTGTTGTTACTGTTTGTCCTTTGTTTTTTCATTTTGTTTTTTTTTTTTTAAGGCAATTGGGGTTAAGTGACTTGCCCAGGGTCACACAGCTAGTAAGTGTCAGGTGCTTGGTCTGAGGTCGGATTTGAACTCAGGTCCTCCTGACTTCAGGACCGTGCTCTATCCACTGTGCCCCCTAGCTGCCCCCAGGGTTCTATTTCTGTTTGAGTTTGATACTCTTGTGCTACAGCCTACTCAGATCCACTATGTGTCTTTCCATTTCCCCATGTGTTCACCTGCAGTTTTCATTCTTCAAAAATTGTGGTGTTTCATGATCCATAGACATCTGGCACCGCTAAAAGAGTATTGTTACGAATTAATTTTTGTGTCAGCAGTTTGGAATCATTAAAAATCCTGTGTAGTTCTCCAAATACAGTTCAACCTATTCTCTATGTAGTTCTGGGCCCAGCTCATTTTCCATCTTAAGTGCCTCTCCAAGATAAGTATACTAATGGACTGACTTCCCAACTAGAAATTATTTTGGGTGGATCCCAGGCAGAAACCAGTGGGTTCCATTGTGCAGCCCTGCCAAAGTGGAAAAAAAAGAAGAGGATACTGAATGAATATGTTAGGGATTAGGGATTGACCTTCTTTGATATTAATTTATAAGGTTGTTATTCCCTCAGGATTCTCATGTCCTCCACAGCATCTCTTACATCTAACCCCTTTTATTCACACAGCTACCACAATAGTTGAAACACTCATCACCTCTTGCCTATGTAATTGCAATGGCCTAATTGATCTTCCTGCCTCATATTTCTTCCCCATTTCCCAGTCAGTCCTCCACACAGCTGGCAAAGTGATCTTCCTTAAGAGGGGATTTGCGCGTGTGATTACCCTACAGAACAAACTGCAATGAATCCTTGTCTCTATCAGTTTATAGTTCTCAGATTACGCCCAGCAGAAGACCCCCTTATAAACAATAAGAGCAACAACAAAGAAGCAAAAAAACAAAAAACATAAAGCAAAGAAAATAAAGTGAGGGGAGCCTGGATGAGTTCTATAGATACTATAACACAAGAATTGGTTAGAGGAAGGAGCTCCAGTTTTGTTCTGCAGAAGAAACCTTACATATATCATTAGGTACATGGACAAAATAAGTAACAAGTAAATGTGTAGCCTAAGAATGATGATAGAATCCAGAATAGCCTAGATAGAGACAAAAATAAGGACACAGTAAATGAACCCTTCTTGGAAGAGGGTCCATTAGCCAGACATAGTAGTACATGCTTGTAATCCCAGCTGCAGGGGAGACTAAGGCTGGTGGATCACCTAAGCTTAGCAGTTCTGAGTTAGAGTGTGCTTATGCAGGTTAGGTGTCAATTATGTTGAGTCCCTAGAAGCTGGAGGCCAGGGGAGGGTCAAACTGCCCAAAGTTGGAAAAATCAGGTCAGAGCTCCATGCCAATACTGGTGGGACTGGACCACAGACGGTCCCTGCATGTTCAGCCTGTGTGAGATAGACTCAATCTTAAAAATAAGAGATCCCCAAAGAACCCCCAAACAAGGTTAGATGGAGAGAGAGGGAGGATTTTGAACTATAAACTTAACTG